AACTTCCATATAAATCTTGGACCTTTATGGAGAAAATTGTTTCAAAAAAAAAAAAGAACAACCAAAAACCAAACCCCAACAAAAATTGGGAAAAGGAAATATAAACACTGTTATTGTTTCTGTTTTTTTGTGGGTTTGTTTGTTTAGGTTTTTGGGGTTTTGTTTTGTTTTTTAATTTAGTGGTAGAGAAGTTCTGTTGATAAAGGAGGAAATTGCAGGATATGTCTCAGTGTGGTTTTGGGGGGGGGGGGGTTACAAGTTAAGCAGTCTATGTAGACATAGCAGTCCTTGGTTATAGAAGGCAACGAGCTCTATATTAATTGCAAAATTATGTATCAGGAAACTCCTTGCAGTGTATTCCAGGGTTTTGTCTTTAAATGAGGAGCCATGATTTGTGTGATGGTGTGTATCTAACTTAAGGTTTGTCTTCATTACTGTTTCAGTATACAAAATTGGTATAGGAATACCAAGAAGAAATTTAATTCATTTGCAAAGCACCCTGAGGCACTTTCTGAATAATGTTAATCCTTAGCATTTCTGTCATGTGCTTCAATATGTTTTTCATACAGAGTAAATTAGCAAAGTCTGGGTATACCTCAAATTGTGGTGGGCACCTTTGAACTTGAGTTACTTCGTGGCAGAATAAACTCTCGTTTTTCTGGGGAGATCCCTTCTGGGACAAGAAGTCTTGCCATCGCTCTTCTGAGACCTGCTGTGTATGTATAACGGTATAACAGGATGTTAGCAGTAAACCTGGGATATCCATGACGAATGTTTAAATTTTTAAAATACTAGGCAGAATGGAAAACTTGAAGCACTCTTAATGTTTGTTCAGACTGCAAATGCGTGCAGATTCTAGCTTTCTTGGTAATCTAATGCTTTTTCATATTGAAGCATGACATTTTAGGCTCCATTTCAGAAACATTCAGCTGCGTTACTAATGGACCCATCTCTGACTCCCACTTGCAGTGGTATTCAGGTGGGCACACTTCATTGCTAGCACAGCATGAGGATATCATTAACTCTATGACAAATTTCACTTCACCTCAAAGTTTTTCTTTTTTTTTTTTTGTTTCATAATTTATTACTAGATGCATTAAATCAGCAAGCTGGTGCTCTTAAGAAGGAACTGCTACAACAATAGTACTTTGACACCTGTGAAAGTTTGGGTTTTTTTCCTAGTGCCTGTGAAATGTGGCTATTACAGTTTCTTGCCTTACACTAAAAAAACCCAAACAAACAAACAAAAAAAAAACCCCAAAGCAAACCCCAAACAACAAAAAAACCAATCGCTGCAGCCCAAATGAAAGACTTCTGTAGTGTGGCATTGCTGAAGCAATGATGTATACTCAGTCCAGATGGTTATTGGAGTGCTCTATACATCAGTGAGCGTCGATGGTTAGTCCCATAGTCGGTGCTTTTAGTGAGCTGTCATGGCAATAAAGCTGAGCACTCACATACAGTTGAAAATCTTCAGTGCCCACTGGGAATTAGGCTTTACAGCTCCTTTTCCCTAATGAGGCGGATCGTTTTCTGCTCATATGTACGTGGCGTGCGTTCAGGACAGCCCAGCAGTACAGTATTTGCGTGCTTAGCTCTTGTTTGGGAGACCGTGCAAACTGCATCTCTGATAATCATCGTGATGAGGAAAAAACAACCCACAACACAACGGGCTTTTTTTCCCCACTCTTCCTTTATCTGCTGCCTGTTTTCTGTGGAGCTGCCTGGTATGGGTTTCTTTGGATGAATGATCCACCTTTGGGTTCACCTCCTGAAAGACATGCTCTTGTTAGGAATCAGTAAGGATGAAGGGATAATCATGGTGTATTTTTATGGAGATGCCTGTTGGCTCTCCAGCACGGGGCATTGTCTGCAGTAGAGGTATCATGTTGGCTGCTCAATGTAAATGCACATTTCAGACCTTGATGTAGTCAGGGAGAGTCCTCACTAGAGATTTGCACTCGAATATACAGGCAAAGTTATATCATAAGCTCTCTCTTGCTCCAGTTTGGGCTTTTCTGCAACAGCTATCGTAATAAAACTACTGTGCTGTAAATTGTGGTAAATGGCAGCATTTGCTTGTCTGCGCTGCGGCTGTGCACGAATGGAGCTGTGCTGCTGTCGGGCTTCGGCAGCTTAGTTCGGGGTCCGTAGAAGTACGATGGCACCGTCGAGAGAAGTAAAGGTGGGAGATCCAGTGCAGGCTGCTGGCGTTAGCAAGAGCTGTTGCAATGCTGGGTTGTTGTTGGTATGTATGAGACATCATCAGGAATAAGATTTACGTCTCAGTGTATTTTTTAAGGTACAATATTTAAATACAAACAAAATTACTTTTCCTTGTAGCTTACACCTACATGCAGAGCATTCATTATTATTAATTGAAAGCTAAGAGCGGAGAAGTTGTAAAAGCATATTTTTCTCTCGGTGCCGGTGTTCTGTTCTGTTCTCAAATCTCACATAATATGGCCAAGCAGATAAGACAGATTGTTTTATTCCTTGCTATGGAGTTCATCCCAGTCAATAATATTGATTAGTGCAGGGTGACTTGATGTTACAAGAATAACACCCTTTTCTTAATTTGAGCCTGTATTTCCTAGTTCATGCCTCAGTAGTTCATGCTTGGATGAATTCTTCAATAAGTCAGTTAAGACACAGACCCCACTGGAAATTGCAGGGTCTGACATTAATAGGGGAAATGAATAATTTTCTTTTCCTAGAAGTTATGCCTCTTTTTTCCACGATTAAACTGTCACATTGTGCAAGTTAACTTTTTAAAATGCAAAATGAAATTCTGGAATTTTTTTTTTTTTTTTTGAGCTACCTCTTTCTAATTACAATCAGTAAAGTTTTATAAACTATGTTCTCAGCTGCTTCTTTGTGCTTCCTGAGTCCTTATGTTAGTGCAGGATTTATCAAGAAGCTCCATGTCCTAAAGGTGCATTTGGGGAGCTGAGTCAGCTTGTGGAAATGCTGCAACTGCAGCTATCCACAGGATGGATGCATGGATTTCCCACTCCACAAGGAATTTAATATTGTCCCTTTTACTGGGGCACCGAAACAGCATCTTTGAATCTACACCAGTGCTGTGAATTCTTGTACAAAGTACTCCTGACCTGGAGGGACCATTTAGGGTATGGGAGAACTGGTGTCAGTGACTTGCTTGGTCCTTGGACATTGCTGTGAGGTTGCTGACAGGAGGGTCAATTAAATCAGGTCATCAAAGAGCTTTTTTTATAGATTGGTTACAGGTAATGGCCTAAAGCATATAAACTTCACCTTGAAAAGAAGATCGAGTCACTTACTCATGGGTTGTATTCCTCCTCTTACACTTTCCAATGTGGAGAAATTCTTCTTGTTTCGAGGCAGATAGATGTCAGGGTCAAAAAAATGCAATAATCTGCTGCTGTTGTTTTGATTTCAAGTACTTTGTCATTTTCCTACCTATAAAGCTATCATAGTAATGTGATTAGGTTCTGTATTTATTATTATTCAATCATTAACGAGAGTTCACATGCAAAATGAAAAGGACTTGACAGTATTTGGGCTAAGTTCTTTGCCTAAGTTCTTATTTTGGGTTATTTAAGGTTCTTAGCCAAAAACCTCACTCGATAGGGTTGCTTCGCAGATGATACCTGCAAGATGATGGTCTGTGCTTTGTGACAAGAGAGCATGACCAAAATACAAGGGTTTATGTGCTGAATTACTGCTAATTTCAGAATGAGATTTTTTTCTGATGCCGCCATTTGCTTATGTGTGGGGCATCTGGCTTGTTCTCCTAAAAATGTTTTCTTCTGGAAGGGTAACAAGTGGACTTTGTTGCTATCAGCAAATGCAAGGGTTTCAGGAAATTGAGATTTGCCTTCCTCCCTTTTTTCTCTCTCAGTAGCCTAATTTTTAAAGTGTTTTGGTGTTAGGAGCTGCCTATGGAAGTGACTTTGGTTCAGATTTAATGACATGCAGGTGGGTGTTTTCATGCCACTTGAAGTCCTGCAGTCTGGGCCTGAGGTGTATAAATAACACTCTCTGAGCTTGTGTTTTACTACCAAGGACTGTGCCAGACTCAAAAAGTTAATTTTCCCCGTAGCTGAGAGCCTATTTGTATGTAACTGGAACTTGAGCAAATGCGACTTTTGCTAGGGAATTACTTGGTGCAGGACGTGGACTCCTGAGAGACCCAGTAGTGTTAAATGTAATAAATAAGTTAAAATGTCGTGTCACTTGCAGTCAAAACCAAGCTACCTTCCAAGGGATTGAATGGTGGCATCAGTCGGAGGTGCAGGAGCCTTCCATACAGCAATATGGAAGCAGCAAAATTCAGTGAAGTGCTGCTCTTAAAACCCTTTCCAAGCATCATGTGCTTCAAAATACATCTTAGCCACATGGACAAGACTTTGAGTGTTTATTATACAAGATGAAGGCCCTCGTGCTTTTGAGAAAGGGTGGTTTAGGTGTGTGCTGATGTGCTTTGTGTTAGGTTTTGGGCTGTTCTGATAACTGCTCAAGTCACTGAAACTTCAGGCTGGAGGTCCTCATTTGTCAGTGGGTTGGCACTTTGAAGAACCATGAGGCTCAAGGCTCTTAATGGTGTCTGGGCATCTCTCATCTGTGTGATGGGTATCACGTTAGCACCTCCAGTCCGGTACACTGGACTTAGGTCAACTGATACATTCATCTGACGTGGCTGGGAAACTCTTCTGCAGTTGAAACCAGGTCCTGTGCCGTAGGAGACCTGCACTTACCAGTCTTTCTGCAATACTCCGCCAGCTATGGAGAGAGGAGCCTAAAGTAATGAATGAATATGATCTGTATTGTTCCTATTGCCTTAGGAGTACTTTCTCGGAGCAGAAAGAGGGTAGAAAGAGCATATCTTCACGTTAATTGCTGATCTTTCACTAGGAATGAAGCATTTAGTCAGACCTAAATGTTTAATTATCACTTACTATGTAAAAATCAAGGGATGTTCAGATCTGTTAGACAACTTGTTTCATGTTATTTTCCAGGAGGACCGGATGATAACTTAATTGAAGGTGGCGGATCCAAGTTTGTCTGCAAACCAGGAGCCAGGAACATTACCATCATCTTTCATCCCCTCCTCAGGTAAGTAAGGCTGTCTACGTATTTCTAGAGGTGCAAATAATTAGAATAAGTAGAATTAACCTTCTTTCTTTATGGGCACATTGCCACTTCTGAGATAACATCCCACAGCAGTGGGCTTGCTGTAAAGTTGTTGACATGCACATATGTAAAAAGTAATCACTAGTTGAGGTTGTTGCCAGTGCTCTTTAATCTTTTTCAGAATTGACTAGCATACCAAGTGGGATTGCTTGTCTGGGTGACCCTGTTTCATTGACCAGTGTAAGTTGTTATTGACCCAAGCTGGGAAAAAAGTTTAGTTGCAGCATGCCACAAATTGTTTATTGCTGACTGTCTGTTATGCTTATTAAAAAGTCAGAAGGATAGTTTATGAACTGCAAGGTAAGTTCATTCTTTGATAAAGCAAATACGGTCTATGGTCTGCAAATTAAATGCCTCATCTAAAGTGCCCTGCCAATTACTAAAATCTTCACAGCTCATCACGGACTGCTGGAACTTTAAAACAGAGCAGGTCTATACTAAGCCTCTTTTCACCAAGTCACTCACCTCTGATACTTTAATTTTTCTTTCTTTACTTTGCAATCTAACAGTTCATCTCTTAGTTTTGCCAGCATTAAATACTACGATGTTTTTCTCGGCTCACGTTGGTCTTCCACCTCTGCTTTTTCCTTGCAGGGTTTTCCTTTATTGTCAGACATGTCCTTGCCTATTCAGTGGTAGCACCTTTAGAGAGCATTTCCCTCCTTGGTTCTGCTTGTATTACTCGCTATCATGAGTCACTTAGGCAACAGGGTATGTCCCTTGAACACTAAAAACAAGCAATAATAAAATAGTAATAAAAAGTAATGGGAATCTGATCCCCAGAGGATGGAATATCCTGACTGATGTCTCAGTAGCTGAGAACTGTGGTCATCTGTGACTTCTCAGGACTTAAAAATATAGATGGAAAGTGCATAAATTCCTCCAAATTTAAGTTTCTGATGTCATGACACTAGATATTGGAATAATCTTGAGAACAGCACCTGTTGTGAGGACAGACAAAAACTTGTTATGGTGTTTAAGATCTTTCCTTGAAAAAAGGGTTATGTACATTGTACACTCTTCATTTATTGCTAGATGCCCATAATGAAATGGAAAATTTCATAAACATATTTTGTTTCAACCTCTGTCTCTTTTAAACAAAAGAAATGTGCTAAAAATAAATTTGCTACAGCATGATTTATAGTTTTTAGCCATTATATTATGAGAAAAGATGGACAGTGGTTAAGATGCAATATGCTATTCAAGATACGACCGCTATAGTATGGACTTCAGTCTCTTAATCTTTAATGAATTTACAGGCTTCTTTCAAGCACAGAGCGGGGTGATGATGTTCCTATTTTTATTGATGAGGTATTTCACATTGATTTAGAAACCGGTGAAAATACTTCTTTCTTTCTATTTGCCTTCCTGCTTAATTTTTCCCCCTTTTTTTGCCATCTGAGTCAAACATGAGTGCTCTGCTTTAAATAGCACTTCTCACAAACACTTCACTTTCATTACCAGCTTGCAAGATAGGCAATAGAAATAATTTGCCTCATAAAAAATAATTGCATCAAGATTAAGGTATCTGCGTACAATATATTTTTCATGCTAACCATCTGCAACATCTTAACTTCCTTGCATTGAGTAGTTCATCAATAACTGCATGAAGAGAAGGAAAATACCCTGTGACTGAGCTTACCCGTTTCTCACTGCAGAATGGGGGGAGTTTGGGTGTAAGTGAAGACTGTAGAAACTTTTTTAATGTGATTTTGCCTAATTTAATGATTGACAGAGTAAACGCACGAGTCCTTGCTACCTTAGATTTAACTAATGATCCTCAACTTTGGTGTGTGCATGATGCATGGGGTGCAGCATATCTGGGATGACCAGGACTGGATTTCTTTTGCTGATAATAATTACCTGTAGGGAGTTCTGTTCCTGACGGGAGTTGATAGCAATGACCTGTCCTACCAGCAAACTGGCTTACCCATTGAGTCCTGTTAAAATTGGCTATATGGTGCTGGCTGTGGTTGTAAAATGCTGAATATGGTGGATTTGCTAAAATATTGACGTTTGCAATAATTTCTAGCACATCATCTTATGTGTGCATTCCTTGTTGGTTAGATCTTTGTCACCCTTCTCCAGACGTTATTGTATAAGTGTCAAGCTCTTGACGAGGTAATTGCTGCAGAGGTGTGAAGTTTTCACTTGCTTTATTTTCCATTTGTTGTCGAGGTTCTTTATGGCCTGCCTCAATCATCTTTCATCAATGTCGCTTGTATGGGCTTAAAATGAATCTGTTTTGAATTAAAAATGATCAATATTTTATTTAGAAGGGGTTTTTGTTTGTTTTTTTTTCTTATTTTTATCAAGTTCACATAAACATGTTGACAGAGAAGTTTTAGCACTGTATGGGCTAGCTGATTTTATTAGGAAGCTGAGTGCTTCTAGAAGTATTAAGCTAACGGGATCACTGAGAAACCAGACACTGGCGTGATGATTTAAAGCCTGAGCATTGCATTAAGTGATGGCTTTAAAATGTAATTCAGCACAGTAATGTTGGGGGAGAGTTGTAACCAGAGCATTCATATTCATCAGTCTGAATTTTTCTTTTTTTTGTACTACTGATGTGATAGACAATGACATTTTTCATATCAGAGTTGCACAATCACAGTGTTAAGTTTACTGGTTATAATAGCCTTTTTTTGGATCCTTCTTTATGTACAAACTGAGGTTGAGCTTGGCTCCAGATCCTTTTGAAGAACAGAGAGTCAGCAGGCTTTCAGGGGGCTGTGAATTAACCCGCGTATCTCCAGTAACAAAAGTTTCTTTGGAGGAACTCTTAACTAACAACCGTGGAGATCGTAAGGGCAAATACATACGAATGGTTTTCAAAGTCTTCCTTCCCTCGATTTCATTTAGAGCATCGAGCCAGAGTTGGGAAGTGAGATGTTAATGCCGTTTGGGATGTGGGTCCCTAATTTCCACTAGGACAATTGAGACACACCAAGCCCCAGATTAATTACCAGGACTTAATGACACCACCACACACGTAATAAATTAATAGTGAATTTTTGGAAGACAAGTGGGTATTCTGGTGGAGATGATTCCTGGGAATAGATTTTACTAACTACATATGAAAACTAATTGCACTTACAAATTGAAGAGGAATACACATCTGATTTTCCTTAATTACATATTGCGGGAGGTGTCAAAGTATAAAAGTTACCAAAAGCGTCCAGTTGCTTTCTTCATCCTTCACTGCTAACCAGCATCTGCTTGGATCGTGAAAGCGCTGGTGTTACTGGTCTGTGGACTAATGTCTCCCGTTGGAGGAGGGAAACGTGCAGGACCAATACTGACGCCCTTACGTTGTGGAATATTGAACAGCCTGAGTGATGTCTGTTGTAACATTTGTTTGGTGGGGATTTTTTTTTTAATGTTTATTTGTTTCAGCTGGCATTTGAAAGGCACTTGGCTCTTCAGGGTAATAATCATTTTACATATGCTTTATAGAGCATGTTTATTACCAGACAATTGAAGAACAGATGTCTGCAGTCTTGAGGCTTAAGGGGGAGGGACAGGAGGGACTGGAGATGGAGGGGATGGTGGCGTGTGGAATTGTGAAAGCACTGCTGATGCTAGCTCAGTTGAACGTTGTTTGGATATTGGGTACTAAGGCCGCGAGGGTATCCATTTATTAATATCAGCCACACTTCATTAAGATCAAGCAGCAATTAAAAGGGTTATAGGATGGAAGAGAAAGCAAAGCGTTCATTGATTCGGAAGAAGCAGTCGCTTCTAAGCAAGATTGTGTCCTTGTGAAGGAGTGGACTAGAGAGGCTAAATTGACCTGGCACCCTCTACCTCTCTATCAAATGGGCAGCGTCTGCCTGCTGCCATCTCCCTGCTCGCCAGATGGGAGGAACTGCGCCGTGTCAGGGATGTTCTAGTCACTGCCTTTGATCTCAAAGTCTGGAGAGTAAGAAAGTGAGAAGCAAAGTGTGGATTTATTGGAGTAGCAAATTAAGGGAGGAAGGAAAGGCAAAATTACTGATTCGACTGTGCTGATGTTGTCTGAGATGCAAAGACTAAAGTTTAACGCTCAGGTGTGTGCATGGTCCGAGGCACTGCAAAGTTTGCTTGTTCTTGGTATTTCAGGTTGGTTGGAGTGGGAGGAAAAGAGCAGGTAATAATTTGACATTTTAATTTAACAATTAAGTGATTATGTTCATTTATGCTGGTCTCCATCATTTAAAGCAGTAGCTTTTTACTTGTTAACATTTTTGGAATTTCCTGTTTCTTCCGGTTATGTTAATGCTAATAAAGGAGCGATTGCTCTTTTAATAAATAAAATATATTCATTAGGGAATAATCAAGGAGGATAGTAATTTAGTTTTGCTGCCTGTTGATATCAGCATGTTCCTCACCAACTGGTGGCAATCGGCACGGAACTGCTGAAGGTCAAATTTCGGACTCCGCTGGTAACCTGTCCTGGGGAGGGAGGTGCACGATGTACAGAATATGTACATACACACAGGTACATATGTATTAACAGTCATGTTTTAGCTTTCCGTGCTTTGGGAATAATCGTGTCAAGCTTCTATTTAATTCAGGATATGTCAAGATAAAAGGCACTGTATGTATAATTTAAATCCTCTGTTTAGTTTGAAAATGTTGGGAGGGGATGGCAAAGCTGTCATCGGTTCCTATGGGGCATCTAAGTCCTTTGGTCTGTGTGAGCATCAACTGCTGCTGCAGCTGAGCACTGTTCATACCTACGTAACTGCAACTGATACAAAACTATGTATATAAGTAAGAACCCGTGTGTACCTCGCTGATAATCCCTTTTATTAGTATATTTGTAGAGCTATAATAATAAACTACTAATTTGATTTTAAAATATGCTGTAATATCTTATAGTTGTGTACTAAAAAATTAATATTTGATAATATGGGGAATGTGTTATATGGGAAGCA